TTTGTTTGGACATTTTATTATTATTATTATTATTATTATTATTAATAAACATAATAGAATAAATAAATATAAAATAAATTGTATAAAATAATATAAAAATAATCATAAACAAATATTTGTAATAATAAATAAATTAATAATTAACCCATAACCTTAACTTCCTAAAACCTAAAAGAGATAAAATAATAATATCAATAATTTATTATTATTACTATAATAATGTTTTTTTGTTTGGACGTTTTTTTTATTATTATTATTATTATTATTTTTATAATATAATAATAATAATAATAATAAAAATAAATGAATAAATAAATAAAAAAATAAATACACAAATAAATAAAAATAATCATAAACAAATACTTGTAATAATAAATAAATTAATAATAATTAACCCATAACCTTAACCCCTAAAACCTAAAAAAGTAATAAAATAATAATATCAATAATTTATTTTATTACTATCATTAATAATGTATTTTTTGTTTGGGTGTTTAGTATTATTATTATTATTATAATTATAATATCAATAATAATAATACTAATAATAACAATAATAATAATTTATTTTATTTTTTTAAGGTTAGGGGTTGATTATTATTTATTTATGATTTATTTATCCTGATTTTTTATTTATATGTGTATTTATTTTATTTATTTAAAATTTATTTATTCATATTATTACTATTTGTTTACTTGAGCAGAAAAGCGCATCAAAGCGTACAAAAATGCGCCAATCGCACGTTTCTAGTCTTTTCTATGGGAATAAAAACGAGCCAAAATTGAGCTACAAAAGTGGCTCCAAAACCTTTTTTACCTTCAGGCGCCTTGAGGTGGAGATGTGAACCGTCTCCATAGTGGAATATTGATTTTTTTTACCCCGTGAGTGTTTTGGAGCTTCGAGCTTCGTACTACAAAACGCTTGGGTGTGAATGGGGCTTATGAGAGTCTTGAGTCTTGTGACTCCTCTCATCATCCCCTTTCTTTTAGTTCTCCCAGTTTAACCTCAGCTGTCTATAGGCTCCACCTTACCCCGTTCCCCCCTCCCCCTCCCCCACCCCCCAAGGTCCCAGTCCAGGAAAATTCTCCCCAACTGGCCCTATGCCTTTACCCTTTGATGGCCAGGCTGGGCTATGAGTCCACTGAGGTGAGAAGTGGCAGTTGATGAGGGGTCTCCGTGGCCGCAGCCTCCACGTTGAATGGGTAGATGTTCTGTGCGGTACAGCATGTGGCCCCCGGAGCCCGGCACTGCCCGTGGATGGAGGTAGAAGCTGTTGTTGGCATTCAGGACAATCAGGCCGCTGAGAAAAGAAAACAAATATATAAATTTATAAACAAATCTTGGAGATTCAAAACTGAGAACATGAAAAAGATCAGCAGAGGAAACCTCCGGTCAGCACAACTCATATTGTATCTGCAGCTGAAGTCACGGGCAGATCGCAATCTTTACAATTCCAGCCTGGCCCCGCCCTTGCTCTGGAGCCTCCCTCTTGGTCCTTGGATGTGATGCAGGGTTCGCTGACCAATGGGAGCCTTAGGAATTTGGTGGAGGAGGGGCAAAGCTGGACTTGTGCGGGAAGAGTGGAGATTTTCATAGAACTGTAGCTGCTCCTGTGTCTGGATGTTCACATGGGTGACAATATTTGTATCGCCCGGTTCAGTATGTTATAACTGATCATTTTGAGACCTTGACATGGGTGGGAAACGTTGGGGCATCACTGGTTGGACTGGAGAACCTGATGTATCTGGAGCACAGGTCTGCAAAGAGTCATTGGATGACATGGGGAGCACTAGATTCACAGGGGTGACATGGGATACACGGGGTGCTCTGGAGTCACAGGGGTGACTGGGTGACATGGAATACATGGGTGCTCTGGAGTCACAGGGGTCACTGGCAGGGGCGGACTGACAACTCCCCCGGGCAATAGGGGATCATGGGGCCCCTGTGTCCTTGCCCACACTAAAAGCACACCCAAAAAGCCTATAAAAAAGGTACCAGGAGCATCTCATGGGGCCCCATACTGACCCTGGGCCCTCGGGCAGTGCCCGAGTGCTCGAATGGTCAGTCCGCCCCTGGTCACTGGATGACACGGGGTGCTCTGGAGTCACAGGGGTCACTGGATGACACGGGGTGCTCTGGAGTCATGGAAGACATGGGGTGACAAAGGGTGCTCAGGGAGTTCTGGAGTCACAGGGGTCCCTGAATGATACGGGGTGCTCTGGAGTCATGGGGGCCATGGGGTGACACAGTGTGCTTAGAGTGTTCTGGAGTTACAGGGATCACTGGATGACACAGGGTGCTCTGGAGTCACAGGGGTCACAGGATAACATGGGATACTCTGGGATCACAGGATGACATGGGGTACTCTGGGATCACAGGGGTCGCAGGATGACATGGGATACTCTGGGATCACAGGATGACATGGGGTACTCTGGGATTACAGGGGTCACAGGATGACATGGGGTACTCTGGGATCACAGGATGACATGGGGTACTCTGGGATCACAGGGGTCGCAGGATGACATGGGGTACTCTGGGATCACAGGGGTCGCAGGATGACATGGGGTACTCTGGGATTACAGGGGTCACAGGATGACATGGGGTACTCTGGGATCACAGGGGTCGCAGGATGACAGCAGCAGTCCGGCTCTCCAGTGTGTTGCCGACACAGGGCCACTCTTACAGTAGGAAGCACTAAAAATATGGGGTCCAATGACACCCCGAATTACCTGATCCCTTCACAGGTGCTGAGCGTCACCGAGGACCCCTCCATTCCCTGAACCCGGCCGTGGTAATAGCAATGCTCCTGCAGAGTACAGAACACAATCCATAGATCACAGAAAAACACAACTCCTGAAAATCTACACGTGTGTGGCCAGCTTTAGTTTTCCAATTCGATTTTCAAATGACTTTTTTTCGAGGTTTGTTGAATCCATTTAGAATTCGGTTGAACCAATTTCGAATGTGAACGACTTTTCCAATTTACTCGAAATGTTTTCGAACTGAATTCGAATACGAATTACTGAAACGAATCCCAAAAACGAATCGAACGAACTTACCGAATCCAACCGACGCGAAACTTGTTAGATTTCAAATCGAAACAAAACGAAACAAAACAAATGTTTTCGTTTTTTCCGTGTCTAATACAGTGTATTGCAGCTCACCGATCGTTAGATGTGGCGGCTGCATTCGTTTTCTTTTTTTTTTCTCCTCCCTGTTTTCACCTGCTGATCTGGCCAGTAACACACCTCCTGTCTTAGAGCGCCCCACTCTGGATGAAGGAGCACAGGAGGCGCAGCACGCAGCAGCATTGTCAGTCTGGGGGGAGGGGAGTGTTACATAGACTAGCAGATTTAGCTACAGTAACAAATTGAAGCTGAACTCCCACTCACACTTTATAATCCGTTACAGAAAAGATTTTTTTTTCTCCCTTTTCGGGATGAAGGTTTTACATCAATAAAAGCTGATCATTGTAAGAACCCCTGTCGGTGGAGAATGGTTTGTCTCCTCCCTGTAAGATGACGCATTCTGCTGGAGAGCTTGTGCTTTGAAAAACAACAGACTTATGCAGGCCATAGACGGGTCGAACATCGGCTGATTTTTCGAACAATAAATGAAAAATCGGTTGTTTGTTAACCTGACGTTACCACCAAAAAATCGGCCGATTAAATCATAAAGTTGCCCCATATAACAGCCAAACTTCCGCCCCTTGCAGGTCACGCCTCATGCGCAGATTTTTTATTGTTAAAACGATCGGCAGATCTGGCTATTATTGCCGGGAAAATCGGCCGCAAATTTTCCAACATGACCGATAATCTCAAAGTGCAAAAAAACCCAAAAACCGGCCGACCAATTCACCCACTAACAGTGTGAAGATCGGCTGATTTCCGTACCGTCTATGGCCGGAATTTCTGGCGGGATCACCAGGTGATACTGAAAGGAAAGAAAGCCTCAAAAAAAGAAAACAAATGCAGCCGTCACATCTAGGAACTGGTGAGCTGCAATAGAATAAATGTTGGCTTTCGGGGGTCAATACCGCTTTAAAGGAGGTGTGGTTTGCGTGCGTGCGTGAATTTGCGTGAATTTTGTGAATGAAATTTGTGTGAATTTGCGTGAATTTGTGTGAATTTGCGTGAATTTGTGTGAATTTGTGTGAATTTGTGTGAATTTGCGTGAATTTGTGTGAATTTGCGTGAATTTGCATGAATTTGTACGAATTTGTGTGAATTTGCGTGAATTTGCATGACTTTGTGTGAATTTGTGTTAATTTGCCTGAATTTGAGTGACTGTGTGTGAATTTGCCTGAATTTGTGTGAATTTGCATGAATTTGTGTGAATTTGCCTGAATTTGCCTGAATTTGTGTGAATTTGCGTGAATGTGTGTGAATTTGCGTGAATTTGCGTGACTTTGTGTCAATTTGCCTGAATTTGCGTGACTTTGAGTGAATTTGCATGAATTTGCCTGAATTTGTGTGAATTTGTGTGAATTTGCGTGAATGTGTGTGAATTTGCGTGAATTTGCGTGACTTTGCGTGACTTTGTGTCAATTTGCCTGAATTTGCGTGACTTTGAGTGAATTTGCATGAATTTGCCTGAATTTGTGTGAATTTGTGTGAATTTGTGTGAATTTGCCTGAATTTGTGTGAATTTGCATGAATTTGTGTGAATTTGTGTAAATTTTTGTGAATTTGCCTGAATTTGTGTGTGAATTTGTGTGAATTTGCGTGACTTTGTGTCAATTTGCCTGAATTTGCGTGACTTTGTGTCAATTTGCCTGAATTTGCGTGACTTTGAGTGAATTTGCATGAATTTGTGTGAATTATTTTACTTTTTTTTGTCATTTCTGATGTAAATGTCGCCCTAGCGGCTCTGACCCCGCCCCCTCCATAGGACATAGTTCTCACCGTGTGGTCCGGGGTCACCGTCACCCTCTCGCCCTCTGGGGTGTAATGCGTCTCGGTGAATCCAGGCGCCAGCAGGAGGCTGCGGGAAGTAAGGGGGGAGACGTCACAAGTCAGCACAAGATCCATGCTGTCCCATAAATCACCAAAATCCGCCTGAGATCTGTCAGTGGCTGGGCGTGACACCCCGGGGTGGGAGGCGGTGGCAAGGATGACGTTTAATCTGCCTTCCCTGGCTCCTCCCCCCTACAGCGACATTCTAATGACAGTTTTATTACCATCTTATTTTAAACTCAGTGACGTCATCACTGGGTCTCCGTACTTCTCTATGCAAGGCAGGCAGATGATGGCTGGTGGGAGGGGCCAGCAGGGTACTGCACATAGCTTCCTAAGCACCCCTGCCTCAGTACTCCTCCCAGGAACCTGATGCAAGCAATGGGCTGGTTACTGGGAGGAGTTATGCAAAAATCAAAATGCTTTGATAGGTGGGTGTCAGTCTGGAGGAGTGGGCGGTCCTAGGCAGACCGCCCAAAGGTGATCCTGAGCCTCCATGATTGACAGAGCTGAAATCCAATGAATGAAAGGGGCGGGGTCAGGGACAGTCAGGCTGGGGAGGAAGGGTGAGAGTGAGATGATGCTGGGCATCCTCCAGCCAGGAAATGAGGCGGAGCTCTATCCAAGGAAATGAGGCGGAGCTCTATCCCAGGAAATGAGGTGGAGTTCTATCCCCGGAAATGAGGCGAAGCTCTATCCCTGGAAATGAGGCGGGGCTCTATCCCAGGAAATGAGGCGGAGCTGTATCCCAGGAAATGAGGCGGAGCTCTATCCCAGGAAATGAGGCGAAGCTCTATCCCTGGAAATGAGGCGGGGCTCTATCCCAGGAAATGAGGCGGAGCTGTATCCCAGGAAATGAGGCAGGGCTCTATCCCAGGAAATGAGGCGGGCTCTATCCCAGGAAAGGGCGCGGAGCTCTATCCCAGGAAATGAGGCGGAGCTCTATCCCAGGAAATGAGGCGGGGCTCTATCCCAGGAAATGAGGCGGAGCTCTATCCCAGGAAATGAGGCGGGGCTCCTATCCCAGGAAATGAGGCGGAGCTCTATCCCAGGAAATGAGGCGGGGCTCTATCCCAGGAAATGAGTTCTATCCCAGGGAGCTCTATCCCAGGAAATGAGGCGGGGCTCTATCCCAGGAAATGAGGCGGAGCTCTATCCCAGGAAATGAGGCGGGCTCTATCCCAGGAAATGAGGCAGAGTTCTATCCCAGGAAATGAGGCGGAGCTCTATCCCAGGAAATGAGGCGGAGCTCTAGTCCCAGGAAATGAGGCG